TTATGCCATTTTTAAATACACAGTGGTAATTCAAGCATTTCCAGTTCTTTCAAAATTGATAGTCTTGGGGGAAAAAAAGTGGTTTTCAAAATCCATTTTCAAAGCTTTTCACCTGCATATTCCCAACTGCTAGCCATAGTTCAAAGTGGATAATTCTCAACAGGATTACTGTCTCACAATGTTATTTTTGCTTGCAGCCTACCTATCATTATAACTCTGTTCAACTCCTTTTGCTATAGACATGCTAATATAAAATGCTAAAGCTTGGACCTGTTTCTTTAATAGAGGATTCAGACTTAAGGAATCTGAGAAACGATTTAACCTCCAATTTTATTACTCAGCTGCTTATCTTTAATGAAATGTACAAAAATGCTAAGACCGGTACTTATTTTACACAGGAAGAAAAAAAATATATTTATATTACTGCACAATATTTCACTTGGAGTACTTTACATCTCTTAAGTTCTTCCTAGCATGAATTTGCACGTACAAAAAAACCCTGAACCAATTAAAGAGCTACCTTTCAAAATTACTCCGATTGCTCCATTGAACTATCTTCACTATTATTAAAACGCCCAACTTCTCTAATTGTGTTGTGTGCCACTAAATTCCATTTACGATTATTTCTGAGGACTTGGGGAACTGTAAATGAGAGTACAAAAGTGCAGCAATGGGTGTTATGTTAATGTAACTCATCTTTCCACAACATAAAAAATAACTTTCTGACCTCACTTAACCAAGTGGCTTAAAATAATATAAAGTATCAGTGTTGGTAAAATGAAACGTAGCCAGGGACAACAAAAAAGAAAACAGAAAAATAAGAATCCCACCCCTATTCCTTTCAAGAATGAATTTTAAGGAAGAATCCTTTGATCATTTGTCAACTGTGCCACCCAAGAAATATGTTTCAGACTATAAATTGGATTGAGATGTTACTTAGAATCTGATGACTCACAAATTCTGTAACAACATTAAGAGCCATGCTGTGGAGATAGATGTGGCCCATCGTTTTACATCTTCCACTACCAATCAGATTCTTAAAAGAAGCCAGAAGCAGGATATGAGTACCACAAAGCCACCCTGTTTCTCCAGAATTGATGTACAGTATCATGAAGAATAGAAAAAAAATATATTGTATATAAAAAGAAGAATAGAATAGAATAGAATAGAATAGAATAGAATAGAATAGAATAGAATAGAATCTGGAAGGAACCTTGGAGGTCTTCTAGTCCAGCCCACCGCTCAAGCAGGAGAACCTATACCATTTCAGACAAGTGACTGTCTTCTCAAAAATCTCCAGTGATGGAACATCCACGATTTCTGGAGGCAAGCTGTTCCACTGGTTAACTGTCTTCACTGTCAGGAAGTTTCTCCTTAATTCCACGTTGCTTCTCTCTTTGGTCAGTTTCCAACCATTGTTTCTCGTCCTGCCCTCTGGTGCTTTGGAGAATAACGTGACCCCCTCTTCTTGGTGGCAGCCCCTCAAATCCTGGAATGCTGCTATCATGTCTCCCCTGTTTTTGCTTTTCTTTAGACTAGCCAAGCCCAAGTCCTGCACTGGGACTTCTTCTAGAAATCCCTCATTTTAAGAAGCCACTTAAAAGTGCTTACAAGTGACAGTTGGTCTAGAGTTTAAGGCACCAGACTAGAAAGTGGGAGACTGTGAGTTCAAGTCCCACCTTATCCATGAAAGCCAGCTGGATCAGTCCCTCTCTCTCAGCACTGCCCACCCCACATGGTTGTTATTGTGTGGAGGAGGGGGGTGTTGGATATGCTCGCCGCCTTGAGTTATTTGTAAAAATAATAAAAGGCGGATTCAAATAATTAAATAAAATCTACAGAACGACATTTGCAGAAGACTAGAAGTACAGCTCAACCCTAATTAATCCAGGCTACAATGAGATACCTCTGGTTCCTGTCTACTTCTCATTCCTGTTTAATAGGATGGAAAACATTTGTTTTATTCCAATTATCTACTCTTTGATGAAAGTTACAGAACGCCAAGATCTAGATTCACTAGGATATAAACATGCCATCTAGATCAGAGGTCCCCAAACCCCAGTCCGGCATGCCAGCAACTGGTCTGAACAAACAAGGAAAGCCCCATCTGTGGGATGCAGGCAGCACACAAAACCACGCACTCTCCGGTCCGCGGAAAACCTCGTGCCCAAAAGGTTGGTGACCTCTGATCTAGATGTAGTAGTTAAGCTGTTCGATTAGGATTGCGGGGGGGGGGGGGTCAGTAAAGTCAACTGATTCATTTTGGCTGATCATTCTCTTTCAGCCAAATTCACCTAATCTGGTTATAGTGGTAAAGAAAATTGGTAGGTGGTTCATACCATGATGAACTACTGGAAGACAGATAGAATATAAATTTTAATTTTAATCTAACTTAGTCTAAGCTAAGAATACCATTGGCCACTGATTTCACTGTGATAATCGTGCCAAGATATGGGGTTTTTTCCAACTTAAATTAGTTAACTTTCACTGTAATGTGTCCAACTTTTTAAGCTCAAGAGAGGCAATAAATTAACAGACCCTAAATAATTCATATCAGTGAAAAAATAATGTTGTGACTAACAGCAATTAAGAAGCTTTATAATCAATGATTTATTTTTCTTCCTTTGCGTCCAGTCCTTGTTCGGGATAAATTATACTTTCAAACATGATCTGGATGCAGTTTATAACTTTACTGCCATTCCAAATTAGGGTTCAAAAGTATCCTTCCTTCCTTTCTTCCTTCCTTCCTTCCTCCCTCCCTCCCTCCCTCTCTCCTTTTCATACAGTTAACTAAAACTACAAAGGCATTTGATGACATTCTGTTTTAATTTATATACTGGTCAGGAAGGAAAAGATTAGTTATCCATGTTTCATCTCACACTAAAGCAGAACTCATTTTTTCTCTGCCTGAATAGATGAAAAGAGTTCATTTCCTACTATAGCAATGGACCACTTCTTTGTGGCCACAACTCACCTCCTCAACCATGATGTTCCCAGTGATGTGATGATGATGTGTTCCATTTTTGGATGAATTTTATCTAGGGTAGGTGGCTGGATTTAAGGCTAAGAAAAAGAACTGGGAAGTCTCTGGGAGACAAACATTCCCATTTCCAAGAACAATTTTGGACTATTTTGGAAACTGGGGGGAAATGGGTCCATAAGCTTTCTCTTCTAATCCTACTTTTTTAAAAAAAGAAAGAGAATAAACTTAAAGAATAAACTTAAAGAGCACCAGGAGGAACACAGTAAGCAGCCTACAATTATCTATCCCTGTTGTGCTAGATAAAGTGGGGCATTTAATTAATTAATCAATCAGTGTAATGGCTTGCTATAGGAGTTGTGGGTGCTCCATCACTGGACAGTTTTAAGAAAAGATTGGACAATCTTTTGTCTAAAATGATATAGGATCTCTTGCTTCAACTGGGAGTTGGACTAGAAGACCTTCAAGGTCCCTTCTCAACTCTGCTATTCTGAAAGTATTTATAGTAGCCAGAGATGGCTCTGCTTTATAGCTCAATAGTCACAACTGAAGCATGCCAGCCTATTCTTTTGTCTCTTTATCCACAGCAATATTCCAAGATGTCCTACTTAAACCTACTGAGGATTCATGAGAAGTGAGTGCAGCTGCCTATAAACAAACCGCTTTCTTAACATTTAATGTTTAGACTGAAATCTTGTGATGATGCCTCTGATATATATTTCCTATGTTTAGGCTTGCACTGACTTTCAAATTAGCTTTTTGGGAGACTGCAAAATCAGAAGAAAAAAAACTCATTATTCACTACGATCCAACCATCACTTTGGCATTTTAATTTGCAGACTGTTCCTTGCAACTGCAGAACTGCTTTCTTTCGGGGGGTTTAATACTCTAATTTACTTTATTTATTAATCCCCATTAATATTCCATTAAAGTGCTTTTAAGAGACTTACAATAAAAATGAGAACACAAGTACACCAATCAAAAGCATTAATAAGATAAAAGATATAACTTATTTCCATCTGATTAAATCCTTCTTAACAACTGAAAACTCTTAAAACTATCTTCAAACGTTTTCTAAAAGCTAAAAGTGTCAGCTAATCTCAAGGTCGATCCAGAGGAGGAACTATGACTGGGAATGCAATTTTCCAGTCCCAAACCTCTTATATGGCAGCATCTGAAGCAGTGTTTCTCAACCTTGACAATTTTAAGGCATGTGGACTTCAACTCCCAGAATTCCACAGCCAGCAATGCTGGCTGTGGAATTCTGGGAGTTGAAGTCCACATGCCTTAAAATTGTCAAGGTTGAGAAACACTGATCTGAAGCATCCCCTCTCTACTGCAACTTTGACGATGGACAAAATTGACTCTTATCTGGCATCAATTTAGTATTGACCTTCAGTTGATTTCTTGAGCTGAATACATCTTCTGTACTACAAATGGTCCTGATTTACTGTGCCTAACAAGTTACTTTTCCAGTCCCACCTAAAAGTCTCAGGATCAAAGATTAAAATCACACAATTGCTATGAAATGCACCCACACATAGCATAAGGTTCCTTACCAAAATTTGGGATTTAAATCAAGAGTGCATACTTTATCTTACAGCTATTAAATCTAATGCATTTGGTTCCCTACATTATGTAATCCATTCTTATATCAGCACACCATAAATAGAAAAATAAATGGAACCTGTTAGTGATCAATCAGTCAGTTTAAGAATGGAATTGATTTTTATTAATCTTGACATTCTCAGTTCATCAAATTTTCAATTATCTCCTCTCAAGGCTTCATTTGTATTTAACAGACCCACAGATTGATCACAGGAAAACTGGGATGAAAATACTTAAATTTGATTTCATTATCCTAAATGTATAGGCCAGAATTATGTTGAAGATGAATCTACTATAGCAAATTAAAGAGACATGCAAATAGTTGATATAAGGTATAATACTGGCAAACAATCTATTTTTACTAGTGTTATATCATGCATTTTAAGTTATGACAGACAACAGATATACTCACCGGAACTTTACTTCCAATTATCTGCATGCAGTGATCAACGGAGAGAAGTGATAGCAATAAATAAAAACAAAACACAAAAAAGGTACAATAAATAAGCTGAAGCATTTCACACAACCCACCAAGTGTTTAGGATTTAGTAAATTGTTAAAAGATGTTTAAAATTAAAGCAGAAATATTCGTAAACAATCAAGTCCAAGAACTATAAAAACCGATACCTTAATTGCATATATTCATAACAGTTTAATATAACAAAGAGGACTTGTTTGATTAAGAACACGGTGTATATTAGTGCATGCAAAAAAAAAGAACCAGTGAAGAATTCATTAGGCACACATTTTCACAAAACTGCCTCTTTTTCCTGGGAAAAGCTTGTTACAGGTTAAGACAGCTGCAGCCAGCAGACTAAATTGCAGTAGTACTTTTATTATGCTTTCACTCTAAAATTTAAATAGCTGTCTGTTTTCATTCAGTGCATCTATATAGAACGCCAGTCATAATAAAGAGTTGCATTGTGTTCATTTTGCAATTCACAATTAATTACTATATAGAATTCTACGTTTCCACTTTTTGAAAACAAGGTGATTAGAATACAAGATAATTCTCTTTTTGCAATTATCACACCAAAGGGTTCACAACAGGGGAAAACTGTACTGCTGACTCAATTCTAGACCTGATTTCTAAAGAGACTGGATAGAAGAAAGACGTAGTTCGAAACATGATAAGGAAGAGCAAAATCTATCTATCTATCTATCTATCTATCTATCTATCTATCTATCTATCTATCTATCTATCTATCTATCTATCTATCTATCTATCTCCATGTCCATGTCCGTCTGTCTATCCATGGCTCTTGTAGCAAGCACAAAGAGATGTTTGCTTCACCATTGTTCTAGCTGCATCCTGGGCAAAACCACACACAGCTAGCTATAGCTTCAAGGAAACATCTGTACAATCTCCTGTTGTATGACATTGGCTGGTGGGACAACATTTACGGAGCTACAGATACAAGCCAGATTTCATCTCCATCATCTGCTCCAAAACTTATAGCAGAATATAGTAATACTAGTGATTTACTGTTCAACACAGAGCAAGACTATGCCTAATGATGTATCTTTTGCCAACTATTACCAGATGGAATGTTATTGATCAGAGGAGGTATCTGATACAGAGAAAACATTTTAATGCAGTCATGCAATGGAATACAGAGTTAAGAAGCCAAATGCGTGCCAGAAACATCTGAGTTCAAGTCCCCATTTAAATATACGGCTTTCAAATTCAAATACCTGAATAATTGTCTAACTGCAACAAGGATTAGCCTGCTCCACTCTCACAGACAAGATGGGCATGCTGAAGACCCAGCAAGACAAGGAATTGACTATGTATGTTTCCTGGTAAAATACATGGGAAAATCCCACTTAGGGTTAGGGTTAGGTCTCCATGAATTCAGAGAGCAAAATGGACACCTCCAGTGGATTTGTAGCGCATCAGTATGTTTAGGAGGGCATTGACTTTTCGAGTCCGTCTTTTCTTTGGTGGCTCCTGATGTGCCAAAGTCTACACCAGGGGTCCCCAACCCCCGGTCCGTGGACCGGCACCGGGCTGTGCAAACAAGTGAAGCCGCATCCACTGGATCAGGCAGCACATGAAATCACGTCCCTCTGGTCCACAGAATCGGTCCCTGGTCCCCCAAAAGGTGGGGGGCTCTGGTCTACACTACCATATTTTAATGCATTCTTTTTTATTTATTTTGAAGCACCGAAGTACTTTCCCATTCACAGGAAACTGACAGCTATAGCTGCATCACAGCTAACTGGTACCTATCTACACCCTAATAAAAGCTTTGATGCTTGGAAATGTTTGCTTTCCCACGATGGATTTTTTTTCCCCCCAGTTCATTCTTTTTCTACCAAATCCAATGGATGAAGTGATATATACTTGTAAGAATGAGGTGGAAGGGATGATGATTTGCAATTCCAGAAGCCTCGGGAGTGATATCATATAAATAGAGGTTTCTGATTTCATGCTTTTATTTATGTTTGTCCTGTTTTTGCACTGTGCGTAACATCGCTTACCCCAAAAGGGACCAGCCTGATGGATACTAATGCATGTATATATGTACAGTTGAGTATGCTATTAAAATGTTTGCATGTGTTCAACTGTGCATTTGGAGCTGCTTGCTTTCTGTTCCCTATTTACAAAAAAAACTGGGCAAGCATGTGCCTAATCTCATTTATGAAGTTTGCTTTAATATAACACATGAGTATTCATATAGCGTTATCTCCATTCTGCATTCCGATTTAGTTAGGTTAGAATTATTCTAATTCTGCCTTTAGGTATTTGAAAAAGGGAATGGAATACGCAAGCTTGTGTTCCCCAAATCACCTTACTACAAACAATACAGTAACTTGAGCACAAAATTGAGTAAAGATTTGCGGGGGGGGGGGTTTGGTGTTTCAAAGTAAAGCCACATCCATCGCATAATTCTGTCTAAAATAGTCTAGGGGCAAAAGCACTTATCAGTTGAAACATATTTCTGCCCTTGGATAGCCAAGCAAATTAAAGAACGTGAAATCTATCCATTCTGATTGTGGTACCAGCTTGTCAAATTTTTACCGAAAAATGAAGAAGAGAAACTGTCGCTATTGTTTTCATCTCTACCATGTTTCCTACTTTGCTTGTTTGTTAGGCATAGCAAAAGATATTTTATACATAGGATGACATCTGAGAAAACCTACAATCTTAAGTAGTTGGAGCCTGATATTAACAGGATTGTGTCATTTACAATCCCAGTGCCGTTTTTTTTTTCTCCATCAATATCGGAAAACACCACTGTAGATACAAATAGTCCTTGACTTATGGTCACAGTTGAGTCCAAAGTTTCGGTTGCTAAGTGAGACACGTGTTAAGTGAGTTTTCCCCTCATTTTACGACCTTTCTTGCCACAGTGGTTAAGTCAATCTCTGCAGTTGTGAAATTAGGAACATGGTTGTTAAATGAATCTGACTTCCCCATTGACTTTGATTGTCAGAAGGTTACATAAAGCGAGCCCAGGACACCGCAACCATCATAAATACGAGTCAGTTGCCAAGTATCTAAATTTTGATCACGTGACTATGGGGATGCTGCCAGGGTCGTAAGTGTGAAACATGGTCATAAGTCACTTTTTCCCAGTGCCGTTGTAACTTTGAACTGCTGTAAATCAAGGACTATCTTTTCGGTGTGGTAGTTTGGAAGTCACCAAATGCATATTTCTGTTAGCAGAACACGAGCAATGTCGCTTTAAAGGCAGGGATGCCCAACCCCCAGACCACCACCGGTCCGTGGCCCATTCGCAACCGGGCCACGCAAGTGGCGGGCCGGTACACACACGTGTGTGCGCAGCTTGACTGGTGCAAGCGGTGGGCCGGCACATGTGCACGCACGCACACAGCTCAACTTGAGGAAGTTGAGCTGCCCGCGCTTGCATGTACACACCGTCCTGCTGATCACATAAGTTCAGCTGCACCCACCCCTGACCCCACAAGTTCAGCTGCCCCGTTCCCCTCTCCCTCCCTCCTCGCCGGACCCTCAAGGCACAAAGTTTGGGGCCTGTTGCCTTAAGGTCCTGTTAAAATCCCATCTCTCTTGAATACAGCATTTTTATAAATGTATCTGAAATACAGTACTTTTAAGACTTGAGAACAAAATGAGTTGCAGGGAGTCCTCAGCTTACAACTGCTTGTTTAAGCAACAGTAAAAAATTTACAATAGCACAGGAAAAAAGTGACTTAGGACCGGTTCTCGCACTTACAACCACTGCAGCATCCCCACGGTCACAACTGGCTGCAGCATTCTGGAGTCGCTGATTAGCATTTGCAAACATCCCAGATGGCTTCTGACTAGCCAAGTCAATGGGGGAATGACTCCATGAGTCCTTTAAAAACTGCAGGAATTCACTTAACAACCCTTGCAAAATAGATGACAAAATCAGGTGTGACTCAGTTAACAACCAGTTTATAACTGACGTTATCAGCTAAAATTCTGATCCAGTTGTGATCAAGGACTACCTGTTCTGTGTAATTCCACAGGCAAGGAATTTATTGGCCTGGTGTAGAACTACAATTTGTTTCAAGGCATGAAAAAACAAAAACAAAAAAAGTTTCCAATTTGAGTTCAACACAACCAAACCGACAACCGACTGTTTTATTAGCCCTTGAAAGGTGTTTACTGCTCGGCCTTGTATCTTGTATTTTAAAGCCATTGATTAGACTCGAGAGCCTTTTGTAAAAGCGACTTCGCAAAGAAAGCGTTGCTTGCACAATTCTTGCAGAATTTTACGTAACAGTCCTAACAATCGTAAGTAGGATTCCTCTTAGACCCAAACAGATTTGAACATCACAAGACAGGAGAGGAAACATCCCAAGAAAAAAGAGCATAGGAAAATGAAATCATTGATCCCAGAATTTATTTTTTTTAAAGCACCAAATTTATAGCATCAGTCAACAGGAAGGCAGTTAGGAAAGATATTTTTGCACCTTAAATCAGAAACTCCCAAGTTTTATTTTTATTTTGCTATCATGCATGCGAGAGACACTGTGGAAAAAGCTTGATAATTATTCCAGAGCAGTGGATTTAAAATACTTATTGGTTTACTGTAAGGAGAGAATCATGTTTCAAATTGCTATCTGGTTGTGAGATATGCAATACATTCTAATTAAGGCTTTTTTATCTACCCTTGAAAGCATTTTAAAGGATTTCAGCAAGGAAGCTTTGTAGGTGCTCTTAATAACGATAAACTGAAGCAGAAATTTGGAGATTTGAGTTGAAAACTGCAGATGTTGTTAAGAGTATTAGTCTGACCTATCTTGGGAAACGAGGAAGGCACAAATTCTACTTACAGATTTGGCAGTTGCGGAAATGTACTGGACAACCATTTCACGTTTTGTGGTCAAATCTTTATTCCGTAAAGGAGCTTTTCGTTCTTCATTTAGATTCATGTCTTCCTATAAATAAATAGGCATAACATTGCCAAGATTGGATTATTATGTCATAGTTTTACTTAATCTTCATGACTGCAGATGCTAAGAATCGCTCTACATCTAGGCAGAATATAAGGCTGACTGCTTTACTTGAGACAGGCTATTCCTCATCATTATCCTAAGCTATTAGTTTATGGAAACAGCTTTAATGTACACTTCAAACTCTTCTTTTTTAGCCCCCATATCATACCCAAAGCCAAGACCGGAATTAGCACAGGACCGGGAAGCGATATGTGTCTCGCTAAGTCATCAAGGAATTATTATATGTGTCTCGCTAAGTCATCAAGGAATTATTTATTCCAACAGAAATTGAGAATGGCTGGAAAACAGTATGAGGATTGAAGGCAGCCATTTTCTCTATTTTCTCTACTACCCCGTTAATTTGCACATTAAAACAGTGGACAACATTTTGGAAACAGTGTTAACATAACTTGCATTAAACATGGCTTCCAACATTGTCTTTTGGAAGGATGAATCCCAGATTTTAAAATACTTAGCACTTAGGAATGATTATGATAAACATAATTTGATGGTGAGCATAAATAATCAGTCTTAAATTTAAGCAGCATATTTAATATGTGCCAACACATGCACACATACATATACAATATATATATAAGTTTTTGTTTACTTCAGAGTTTCAGTCAGTCTTAGACCAATAGAAGCAATGTACTTGTAGAAATCTTAGACCAGTAGAAGCTCTGAGTACTTATAAATCTATCTTAAGAGTCAGTAAATAAAATTTAAGACAAAACTAACATATGTTTATAAAACAACTTGTCTAGAAATCCATTTGGAGTAAAGTCCAAATGGAACAAACCTATCTCTAGGTTACAAAATAGTATCTAAAATTATATAAAACGGAACAGAAATGTGACAGTAACTAAAATTTACATAAAATGTGATGACATATTAAATTAGAAAAAAGTGATATCAAAGACTAGATACTATCTTTGTAGATACTACCTAGACACATAGTATCTATGTATCTAGAGATATTACATTTTATAGCAATAGCACGTAGACTTATATACCACTTCACAGTGCTTTACAGCCCTCTCTAAGGGCTGGATCCTCATTTTACCAACCTCAGAAGGATGAAAGGCTGAGTCAAGTGAGAATCAAACTGCTGGCAGTCGGCAGAATTAGCCTGCAATACTGCATTCTAACCACTGTGCCACCAGGGGTCTTTAGCTATTGCATCTGGATAGCAGGAACAAGGTTCATGAGGGGTCCGGTGGATCCCACATGCTGTGGTGTAAAACCGAACTACGTGCATTGTAATAAAAGTCAGTTTATCTATGACCAACATCTCGGCATAGGCCAACTCTGAGCAACCAAAATATCTGCTGATCAGAAGGAAGATCAACCTGGTTCAGGTTTTTCTGTAAAAAGAGAACATTCTCTGTGGTTTCCACAAAGACAAAGGCAGGGACTTTCAGAGCTGGCTCTTTTCTTATATGTGACATCTGATACTGCCGAGGGGAAAATATGGCATTGGGCAAGAGAAAAGGCTTGTCAGGGGTTGGGTGTTTCTAGTTTAAACCATTTCAGAATTTTTAAAAGAACAGAATTCATTAAAAATCTAAATTTATGACACAAAAACACGGGCTGGACTGTTCCACAAAAACAGGAAGTCCGACAAAAATGTCATACTGTAAGATCTATTAACTAGAATAGATTGTTTTTCTTCTTAAGCAGGCTTTGAGAGGAGAGTTCTTGCAATTGCTTTACTACTTGGATTCTTCAGTTCCGTGGTACGTAAAACTGCACACGAAGTGGGATACGGAAGCCCCAAGACATTCACGAGAACGCATTCGCTCTCATGAAAAGCAGTAGACCAAACAGCCTAATTGCTTGCTTAAATAATAGAGGACACTGCATTTCCACTACATTACGGCCCATTAAAATGGAAAAGCAAGTTGATGCTTGACTCCTTGTGGCACATATGAGCACTGATCCGTATGATTTTTCTTGGCATCAATATTGCAGTGGTTTGCCAATGCCGTGTTTTCTGATTTTTGTAGACTATCATCCCTGGTATTTGCTGGTAGTCTCCAGCCAACGACTAACCACAAACACACAGAGGCAGTTGCCAAGGCAGACAAACCACTGTCAGCTGACAGTCTTCACTCTAAAGGAGAGAGCAAATCAACCTCCATTATGTCATTTCCTACAAGATAACAAGCAGAGCTTAATCCTTGGATAACAACTGAAGACGTCCAGTGATTACCATGCAAATATCTCACAAAACTTTCACAAAAGGGTCCTTTAAAAAAAACAAAACATCAAATCTGGATTTGAAGCAACAGCAACCTATACAAAATAAAAACAGCAAAATAACACCTGATCCTTAAGAATACTTTTTTTTAATGGCTTGAGCTTTATAGAGCAAAACCTGTACACTACCATCCTCAACAGGGTGAGCTTCTCCTATAGTGACTAACATCTGTTGCAATTTACATCATTTGCAAACCTCTATAACAGAGGTCCCCAACCTTTGGGGCATGGAGAAAAGTTGTTCCGTGGACCAGGGGGTGCATGGTTTTGTGTGCTGCCTGCATCCCCCGTTTGTGTGGACCATTTGCTGGCATGCCGTGGCCCAGTACTGATTCACGGGCCAGGGGTTGGGGACCCCTGCTCTATAACATTTGAGCCATTCCATCATTAAGTAATTGACAACTTTTGCACAAATGTATCATCAGGCCAAAGTCATAAATTCATACACGTAGCAAAATGTCTGTTCACAACATTACTATGCAAATTAGGTAAATCTCCAGGGTACTCTACTTTCTGATTAAGAGGACATTTCTGAATAATCATCACTCTCCTCCAATTAGTCTTTTAAAAAGCAAGACTTCACTGTGGATAGGATTTTTATTTTTATTTTGCAATTTTATAATGTTGCTTTACATTTTTTAAATATTTAATTTTAAATTATTTGGGTTTTAATGTTTTATTATATTGATTAAACTGTACATCTCCCAGAGCTCCTCTATGAGGTAAATGGGCGATTAAGAAGTTTGATATATAAATAAATAAAGAAGCTACAGGGAAGTAAAACATAGGAAGTTTGAACAGCAACAGTCATATAATTAACAAATGCCCATTTATAAAATTGTTCTTCACGATGCAATTGTTATGGTAATAAGGTTCAACGTGTTTCGTTAAAAAAAATAAGAACTGCAGAACAGGACCTCATGTTAATCCTTTATATTTCTGCTAAAATGGACTACAGCCTGAAAACATATATTCCATAATAAATGTATTGGTTTCTTTGTTTTTGCTGCAGCACGCTAACTTGGTGATAAATACTACGGAGGAGTGCTTTTAAATCTTTTTAATCTTCTTGACAAAATCCTTAATAACTTCCATTAGGAAATAATGGAAATAAGGTTTATTTACCAGATGGCTTTCATTTTCAAAACTATTTTCACTCACTGGTGAATTTATTCCATGCCCATCGGCACCCTAATCATGAATGAGCATTTTGAGTTGCAAACTATTAGTGGCAAATTGCGAACTATTGAAAAATTGTCTTTATGGGCTAAGACATGATTAATCTATTACACACAATTATGTGGTCACTGAGAAGATGAAAATGTCACAAGGGCTGCCTATTAGCATCTTTATATGAACTAAAATGGACTTTCTGGCCTTCTACTCAAGAAAACCAATGTCAAAGCCATGTTAGAATCCTCCATCCTCAAATTGTCAACTTTTAATTAGTGTTTTCACTTTTCTTAGGGAAAGGAACTGTTTCATTCAGATGTTTGATAGACCAATGACACAGAACTCTCATACAATGCGCTGTTCCTAATATAGATACCCAAAAATAAAACTTACCATCATTTTCTCAAAGAGGTCCATAACTTCTTTTTCCGATAAATTCATTGAACGTTCATCAAACAGTGGTTGAGGCACTGGCAATTCAATTATAGAGGCCTGTGAGTCGATGGGGTGCTGAATAAGAAGTCTCTCCTTTTTGACTCCAGATTTCCTAAAACTAGTTAATCTGTCCCTCTGCAAAAAGAAAATAAATATTCTTAAACGTAGATTCTAGGAGAAAACCCACTGACTCATTACTTCACATGCTAACACAGGAATAATCATGCCCAAAATTAAGCCATACCACTTATTTCTGAGACTGTACTTCATGTGCTTTGTTCTACCTAATCTTGGTTACTGCACAGAATCAGGACATGTGGTTCATTAAAATAGCGAATCTCCAGGTCTGAAACCAAATATGTTTTGAAACCAGAAAAGCTAAGTTTAAATTGAGCCAATTCTTATTCTGCATCCATCTCTTCTGCAACTAAATAAGGCACAATCTGACTGAGATTCCAGAAGTACATTGTTCTCTGAAGTCTTTTAGGTCAACCTGAAAACCCACTTCATGTATAAAATTAAAATAAGGTATTTAAGGAAAGAACACTTAGACTTTGAGAACATTTTTACATATCTAACACTTAGTTTTGTTCTTACATAATCGCAGCATGCTCGGCTTCAGAGTATAAAAGAGTATAAAAGGGACATCATTTCCATAAACTGTTGACTGGAGAATGTTTAATAAACTGAATATAAGTTCCTTTTGTAAAGCCTGAACCAAAGCATTTTTAAGGCCCTCCATGATATAAGTACAGTCTCGTCACAGAAGCAAATAAGCTGTAAAGATGCTTTACGTAACATAAAGTTACATGCTTTCATAACATTAGTTGAAGATAACATTAGGAAGCGCAACGTTGCAGGCATAAGGGCTCAATCTATTGTTTCTCTCAGCACTGCATGCAAGCCTGGTTATATATTAGTAGAAAAGAACCTAGTTTGGCTTTTGCTTAGCCGGAATATATGCAGTATAATGAGGGTCAGCAAAAGGGTGGGGACCACTTCGAATGGAGGGAAACCTTCCTGAGATGAATAAGATGGATGTAGCTAGGTAAATCACGGAGGATTTTACTGCAACAACAAGCTATGGGTTGCCATACATCCAATGCCCCAAATACATAAGAGTGCAAAATTGCAGTAGTGGCCAATTCCTTTCAAGAAGGTGTGAATTTATAGTATGTGTTGAATTGGACATAGAAGTTTGTTTTTTTAAAATAAACAGATCAGTCATCGCTAAGGGTACCATAATTGCTTTTTGGAATCAGAATACAGCATAATATCAGGCGAGGTTATCTCCTTCCCATTTTAGAAGACTGGTTAAAATTATATCAACACATGGAAGGCTGGTAGCCAGATCCTAATTTTGATCTGTCATCATGGCAACCAATTTAATTTTGAGATTTCCTTGGAATACAATTCTCTTTGGTTGGAGGTGACAGCTTGTGACCCTAGTATAAGAACCAGTTAGGATGTTAGTGGTTGTTAATTGGAACATCGTATATCTCTATTTATAATTAAAGTTATGCAAAATACTGTAAGCAACATGCACTAGAAATACAAACCCACATATGAGGATCTTACCACATCATCTGCCAAAGTTTTTATCTGTAGATTCTATGCAAATCAAGAAGACAAGAAAATGTGTGTTACCTACTGTAAATTAAATTTAGAGGTCCCTCTTTTCATTTATATTAAAATCTTTTATTTTCTCACTAATAAATGAGTAAATATCAACCTCAAAGAGTATCAAACTTATTGCCATCACAGAAACGTCCTCCAGAATGCAGGTTATTACCCACATCATTACCAGGTGTAGCTGGCTCAGGAATTATGGGATTTGAAGTCCACAGGTCATAAAGTTGCCATAGTTGCCCAGCCCTGCTCTAAACCCATCTATTCAACCATTCCACTTTCCAGTTTTCACCATGAAACCTGTACAAAGAATACGAACTAAAGGAGAAGACCTTTGAACAGAAAGAGAAAAAAGCAAATAAAGCTAATGGATGTGATATATTATTTTCATTCTGCCAATTTAGAATCAACACAAAACAAAACCTTGTAATTGGAAAATTGGGTCTATAAGATATGACATTTTGATCACTGCTGCAAAACCTTAAAATGAACTCTCAAAATATAATGTGAAACAAGAAGTTAACTTGGAAGTTTTGATAACGTACTTGGCCAAAATATACAATATGGTCCTAAAAGTAGGATGATGATTATGTAGGCACCTTGTCCCAATCCCTTCCTTCCTTCCTTCCTTCCTTCCTTCCTTCCTTCCTTCCTTCCTTCCTTCCTTCCTTCCTTCCAAGCAACCAACCTTAATTTCTATGACTTAAACCACCAGACTCCTTCTTTACTAAAATGTTACTATGCTGTCAGAGATTCTTAGAAAACAAAAGTAATCGAACCTGCTTTACTAGAAGGGTGTCCACCTACTTCTAACAAAATAATGTTAAGCAGAGATGATAGAGACACCATGGGAAGTTATAGGAGCAACCTCACTAGATTCCTTTTTGGTAAATAGCTACTACGCAACTGGTTACACTTAACTTATTTGCTGATTAATCTCCAAAGTACATTCTCAACATTCCAAATGTGTTCAGCAGCACCCACTCAACCCAAAATAGCTTACTTCTAATCAAACTATCTTGGCCTTTGATCACAATTCTTCATGATGCAATTTGAGCTACAGTGGTATAGTCATTAGGATCTTGGACTGGAATTGGGGAAAAACAAAACAGGTTCGTGTACATCTTTGGCCACGGTTCAGTCATCAATTCTAGACCAGCCATCCTCTCCCACTTCAATGGGAAATGCAGGAAATATGCAGGAAGGGACTACTACGCATCTGATCTTGAGTACATGCATAGGAAGTGGGGATTGACTTCTAGCATATTAATTAATTAAAATGCAAGTAGGTTCACCGCATATTGAAGGCTTTTCAAAAGCCACTTCTTTAGGAACAAAAACCTAGCTTGTCATGATTTACCAGCTTGTAAAATTTTGAAAAGTCCTTCAAACTATGACACAGAACTAGCTTTAAAAAAAATACATATCACGATTTATCACAGAAACTCGGGGGTCACTGCTGCTTAAGTAGCAATCTCTTATTCTGCTAAACAAAAACATTTTCTCTGGGAACAGTAACAGAACTGCTAGATATTTACTCTCTCATCCAATGTGCCACCTAACCTCATTTGTTTCGTTTGACCCATACAGTGGCGACTAGAACATTTCTCTTTTATGTTATGTATTCCAAACTATTTTTAGAAAGAACACGCAGCACTATATTTCTGTTTCATATAATAACTCAGGCAAAGCTATTTGGAAAGTTAGTTTGAAGCTGTTGTTGTATTCTGGATGTATTCCTATTTTTTTTCTCCCAGCAATATGCCACATGTTGTATTAAATGCGGCTATACTTATTTATTCCAATGTATTTTATTCATCAATAATACATAAGATTCTTCACTTCAAAGCTCATCACAAACAAGAGAAAAGCTATTACAGTACAATCCAGTTTGTTTTCAAGCTTTAACTATGACTGATTAACTCTTCCTGTAATAGCACAGGAAATCTTTCGTGTTCCATCAAGGTTGCCATCGAAAAGCAGACATAATTCAAGGTGTAACTAGTCAATTATTGCAACTAGCATCCTTGAAGGACGACTTGAAGTCTAACACCGTTAACAATCTGAACTCAATCTTGCTTTAATTGCCTGAGATGAACAAGTTTGGTCTAAAATCCACTTTTATTCAACAGGCTACTGAACTGCAGGGGGAAAAAATAATAATGCAGATCACTTTTCCTATCTATTTAGAAAATTGAATCCATGCTGGATAGGACATAAGCAAGTAATTTCTACTCTAATGTTTGCATTTATTTCTAAAAGTGCACTGCTTCGAGAAATGAGCAAGCCGACGTGGAAACGAAACATGATCTGGATGTTGCTCAATTTGAAAATCCCCTCTACTGTAAGATCCACCCCCCTGCTAGTATTCAATCCACCCCCCCTGCTAGTATTTAATGGTGGAAAGGACAAAAAGACCACATACATGAACATTTTTATTATTCTTCGCCTGGCCTTAATTTGCCACTTTAAAAGCATGTTGGTTAAATTTCAACTTGCACAGCACTCATAAATCAGATAATGAGTATATAACGTAAACAAATCTCCTGAAACAACTAATGCTGATGCATTACTAATTAGTAAATCCAGAGTCATCAGAAAGTGTATAATCTTAGTTAATGAGTCATGAGTTCTACCAAAGGAGATCCATTCCAATTAATTCCACTAGAAGTCTCCACACAACTAGCAACACATTGCAAAGGAGTCCGGAAGCCACAACATCTGGAAACATAGAGCAGTACACTAGAAAAAGACCCACAAAAACAGAAAGAAGAAAAAAAAGCCACAAGGACCACAATCTGGGACAACAAAAATGCACCTTCCACCCACAAAGAATATAATTTGCTTAGCCACTGTAATTGGCTAGGCAAGCAGATGATCCAATTGCGGTTTTTAGAAAAAAGATATGTTTTACAAAAATGACGGTGGCTTATCCTAAACAAGGTTTAACCAGAGGGAACAGCATGTGAACCACAAGATGTAAGCTTTCCTCATGCAAAAGAAAAGAGGGTTAAAAAGGACTTCACTTCAGGAGTAATTAAAATCAAGCAAGCAATTTATTCAACTAAATAAATCAGAAGAGTTCACCTTCATGCTGTTCCTACTGAAGTGCAGGGTTTTCTTTATTTTGAATTTAAAATAAACTGGATTTCTTAAGCATATTTCATTGATTATGTGCCATTCAAGTCCATGTCAATGCTTGAAAGACCACAGACTGTAAACAAATTTTCGTGAGGACGATCTGTCCTCAGCATAATTTACAAGGGCTTCTGAGGTCTATTTTTTTCCATTAATAATAATAATAAAAAGCTGTCATCAAAGTAGAGACAATTTCAAGTTTGTAATACCTCTGCATAAAAAAGCGGTCTAAGGGTGTCAGGTTAAGATTGAGACTAGAAGCCTGGAGACCATGAGTTCTAGTCCTGCCTTAGGCATGAAGCCAACCATCTTTCTCAGCCCTAAAGAGGAAGCAATGGCAAACACTTCCGAAAACTTGCCAAAAAAACTGCAGGAACTAGTCCAGGAAATCGCCAGGAGTCAATAATGACTCACATACACACACAAAGACTATACAAGGTCTGGCACAATCTGCAGGCATTTTGCCATGTTACTGAAAGCCTTAGAGAGAAACATTCCTGAAAACAGCCTAATTTTTTTCCTTTCCTGATTTAATCAGTTAAATGTTTTGCCTTGCGCACAATGTAGTACAAATAGCCACTTTTGTGTGTTACTAATGCTGTAATGATTTTGTAACAATCTTTACTTTGCTTGAAGAATAAACATAATTTGGAGGTTTCTAATAAAGTAGAAAAGCTTTTAACCATGGTATTTTTAGCTATATATTTTTTTTCCAGTATCAACTGTAGTTTTGTTCATTTGGTATCCCAGTATTATTGTTATTCACATGAGGAACGCATCATGTTGTGTAGTAATACCAACAATAATCTTCTACAAAGAGGAAATAAAATAAACATATAAAAATTGCCATGGTGATTTTCAGTTATGACAGTGTTAAAACAAGAAATACACCCTAGTGATTATTAGCTATTCCCATATGTGGATGCTAGCAGTCATATTTGGGTTAATTGACCAAGAATAATGGGTAGATCTAAAACTGAGAGTCTAGGATTGCTTTGAATGAAAAGCTAAGATCTTTCTTTCTTTTCTTTTTCTTTCTTTCTTTCTTTCTTTCTTTCATCACAAATTTGAGGAAGGGAGAAATGCAAGACCTTATGCTTGTGGGAAAAAGATACCACACACAACCTGTTAAGCATGTGGGGTACACATTTCTATTCTTTAGTAATCTAGCATGTGATGCTATTAGATTACTACATGTAGTAATCACTTGTGGATTACTTACGCTTTCACAAAGCTGTAAAAACCAGCTCTTTCAAGGTCAGCCTAAGATGATCTAATCCCCAATAAAGTATTTTGGCCTTTAAGTCTGTTTCCTCCCCTTCAACGTGGTATTTATCATTGCCATTTTGTTATTGTCCTTTTTTGTCTTCCTTCCACGCTGTTATTTTAAGCTCTACTTTGGAAGCCACCTAGAATTACTCAAATGCTTGAGGTGATTGTGCTTTTCATGTGATTTCTACGCTATCATTTTAAACCTACCTAGAACTGCTTCAGTGTCTGAGGCAACATCTGAGGGAATAGGTGGATAAATAAATAAATATATAGATGCAGGAGCAGACCAAGACACCTGTCAAGGGTATATTCAAGCCAAAATTCAAATAACAGGTAATCCTCAGCTTACAAACCACAACTGACCCCAAAATTTATGTTGCTAAGTGAAACATCTGTTCAGTGAATTGGACTTTGCTTGTCAGAAGGTCACAAAATGATGATCATATGACTCTGGGACACTGCAACCGTCATAAATATGAGTCAGTTGCCAAGCGTCTGAATTTTGATCACCTGACCACGGGGATGTGGCAATGGGCCTAAGTGTGAAAAAGAGTCATAAGTCACTTTTTCCG